TATAAAATGTTTACATGATAGTCTAGTAATAACATTCAGATATATCACAAAATGGAAACACCACACTTCTAGTCTGTTTAATCACTCTCTGTTCTCAACGAGAATAACCATCTCGGTTTTGGGACGTGTAAACACTGTGGGTTTTCCGTTTCGAATAACGCGCATCTCAACCTTGCGAACTATTTTTGCGATCAACATATTCCTTTAGTAAAAATAGGAACCCAGACACAGTGAATATCCCCCCCCCCCCCCCCCCCCCCCCCNAGAAATTTAGAGCCGAGAGTTTATTGCGTTCACCTTAATCACCGTTAATTATACTATTTCTCAGCCATCCATACTTGGTAGGGTGAATATTAACTATTTCTCAGCCATCCATACTTGGCAGGGTGAATATTAACTATTTCTCAACCATCTTTGGTTGGTTGAATATTAATCAACTCTCCGCTATTTGTTATTGGTAGGTTGAATGTTAATTACCGCGATGCTAGCTTTTCTTTATATGGTAAATATTGATAGAATATCGTTTTTCTATTGATGACAGGTAAATACTAATCAACTTTCTATTAACTGGTAGTTTTTTTTTTTATATTTATTACATCTGGGTCCGCTACCGTTGAAAGACAAACATTAGTTATCTATCGGCCCTCATATGTTGATAGGATAACTATCATTTTATTCTCATTCCGCTGTTATTGATAGGGTAATATTAATTTTCTCTCGAGCGTCTATTATTGACGGGGTAAAGTATATTAATATTATGGATGGCTGAGAAATAGTTGATATTATGGATGGCTGAGAAATAGTTAATATTCACCCTAACAAGTATGGATGGCTGAGAAATAGTTAATATTATGGATGGCTGAGAAATAGTTAATAATCACCCTACCAAGTATGGATGTCTGAGAAATAGTTAATATTATGGATGGGTGAGAAATAGTTAATATTCACCCTACCAAGTATGGATGGCTGAGAAATAGTTAATATTATGGATGGCTGAGAAATAGTTGATATTATGGATGGCTGAGAAATAGTTGATATTCACCCTACCAACAAGATTGCTGAGATTTAATAAATATTCACCCTACAAACAATTAATGAGAGTTAATTCATATTTAATATACATAATGTACCGACAATGGATTGTCGAGAGTTGTTTATGTTCACCTTACCAACAAAACTTTATTGAGAGCTAATCACCTTACCAACAAAATATTACTGAGAGCTAATCACCCTACCAACAAAATATTGCTGAGAGCTAATCACCCTACCAACAAAACATTGCTGAGAGTTTATTTATATTCACCCTGCCAATACATTCATACAACAGCAGTAAAGCACCAATCGTAAATAAATATTTAGCTTATCAACAATTGAAGATCCTTCTTACCACGAGCGGTACACGGACCGTTTTCAGTACTATATATAGTAACGAGTTTCCATTCAAATATGATTGATGAAAAGGGCAGCTTTCGTCAAAGCGGGGTTCTGCAGAACTGATAGGAAATCTTAGGGGCGAGTTTGGTAAATCTTTTAACAAACCTTAACGAAATGGAATTCAATATCGTTTTTTTTATAATACCAATAATGTATGAAAATATAAGACGAAAATGCAGGTATAGATTATGGCGTCGGATAGTGTCCCCTTATAAATTAGATCACGACACACAAATGGTGTCAGATCTCGCCCCTAAAGAACGACACACAAATGGCGTCGGGTTGCGCCCCTAAAGAACGACACACAATGGCGTCGGATCGCGCCCCTAAAGAACGACACAAAAATGGCGTCGAATCGCACACCAACCAAGAATTCTGACTGTTGAAAAATGCATTTGTTTTTCTCCATTTGAAACTTCAATATTGATATATTAGACCTATAAATTGAGAAAATGACAATACCTTGCAGTACTGGGAACGGAGATGCCCGGGGGTACGGCTAGAGTTCGCCTTAATATCCCAGAAACAAATTGAGTGATATCCCGAGGTCTCCTTGGACGTGTGTCGTGCCTAATGTTGCGTGGGAAGTGTACCCGTGCGTAGGTTTGGACTCATTATAGAACCCCCACTTATAACACAGGAACCTGGAGTATAGCTTCCTGCTGCCCAAGCATGCAAAATAATGACATCTATTTATACATACGAATACTCTCGTGTGTAGCCTGGATCCATTCAAAAACATATATCTCTAGACATTATCTACTTCCCGTTTAACACTTGACAATATCATTTTTAATTAATATCAACTGGAAGTACGGGGTTAAACGCTATTTCCATATCAATTGTTTTTTTTGTGGTTTCCTAATTTTCGAATCAACAACTTCGGGTTTGCCAGTTTGTCGATGTATATTTGAGCACAAACGGATTAATTATAGCAACATCATTTTTTTTGTATAATTAATCCGTTTGTGCAGTGATTCGGAACCAACAGGTTTTGTCAATGACAGCTCTGGAGAATTATGGAAATCCCAGACCCGGACGTATATGTATTGCATAATTCCGGGTAAAACCGGCAACATCAGTCCTGGTGACTGAGCAGGTGACAAATATACCAGTGCTGGTGACTAAACAATCGGAGCAGCACGCGCTTGTAACGAACGTTACATGTATATAACCTGGTCAAGGAGCTCCTCCCTTCCTGGTAAACACCACCAATACACCACAGTCAAGAGGGCGGAAGGATCGAATCACGAATTCTTTATCTTTCATTTAATCATAATCGGAAGAAAAAACAGCTGCTATGCTGTTCTGTTATATATAACAGATAACTTGTTCTGGTAATGTTACCACGGAATCCGTACTGTTACACAATACTTAGCTAATCGCAGTAACTTATTGTCAATTTACAACTCAACTCCATGCAGAAGGCTACACAGCGTACTGTACAATATTCTAAAACACTGATAATTTATACCGCTAGTCACATGTACAACAGTGTAACGCATTATCCATTTCTAAAGTATGCTAAACTGGTAAATGGTTATGAAACAGGAACAATCTGGTATAAAGTATATTTACGAAGTAAGCTTATCGATTAAACCAATTAACCTGTTTATAATTATAAATATGGTGACCGATTACATTAACATCATGTACTAACCGTTCATATACCTGTTATGTTGTAGCATACCGAGACAGGATAGAACAGGGATATCGGAGGACCTGACATACCACTCTATCGAATAGGTTGTAAATATTCGGCTATCTAGGACCAGATTACTTACGGTGTCTTTTCTTAGAAACAAATTGATTTTTTAGAGTAAACAGAACGTGAAAAACGGAATTAAAACTTTCTCGGGCACACAGATCGTGAGAAACAGAATCTGAAACTTCTTCCAGCAAACAGAACGCTGTAATAGAATATATGATTTCTTCGAGCAAACAGAACGTGAAAAACGGAATTAAAACTTGTTCAAGAACACAGATCGTGAGAAACAGAATCTGAAACTTCTTCCAGCAAACAGGACGTGAGAAATAGAATATAAGACTTTTTCGGGTAAAAGAATGTGAAAATAAAAATGAAAACGTCCTCGAGCAAACAGAATTTGAAACTTCTTTCAGTAGACAGAACGTGGTAATAGAAAAGACGATTTCTTCGGGCAAACAGAACGTAAGAAATAGAATACAAGACTTCATCGAGCAAGCAAACAAAAAGTGAAAACCATCATGCAAACTTTCTCGGGCAATCAAAAACTCGAGAAACAATTAAAAAATATAAAATTTTCACAAGAAAACAGAACGCGAGGAACAAAATATGTAATTTCCTTTAGTAAACTGGTGCGTTAACAGTGCTGCTTGGCAAGAATAAAATGTATTACTGATTCAAACGGCCAAGGGGAAAAAACAAAAGACAAAAAGATATCGCACCTGTCTCTGTCAATACACTTGACGTTTTTCGAGTTGGATAAACCTATGACTAATGTTGATATCAGGTCCGAGGTAAACGCTTTTTTTTTTACCGGGGTTCTGTAACATAACATTGCTCTATATCAATCGGAGTGTGACTGTCCGGTCACCATCTTCCCCTCCCCTTCCCTCGGACAGAAGCAAGGCGATCTTACACTCCCGCCCCTTCCCCCTAACGTGTTGGACACACAAAATACCGACTGACACTCGATAATCCCGCTAATTAACCGTCGGCTGTGTGCCTGCCAGGCCCAGGAATGTTCCGTGGGTCCTGTGGCGTGTGTATCCTGTTCGTATGTACACACATATATGTATATACGGACACCACGTGGCCAGGTCCAACATCTGGAGATTAATCAACTACAAACAGGCTAGCCTCCGCTACCGTGTAAAGCCCGGATCCCCTCCCTTCCCGTCCGGAAATCGGAACCAGCCTCTACGGTTTGCGTAAATTGCTGATATGGAAGTCATTTTTAAGCTATTTGCAATGCACCCTTAATAAAGCCGAGGAAAGTGTAACACCCTGTCGTCTGTAAACATGGGCCCGACAGACTATATCCGCCTATACAGTGCTGTGGTCGACTCACCGAACCACGGATATGGGACAAAGGGGCCACAGAGGGGTCCCTACAGTTGACTTATACGCTTGGACAGATATTGTAATTCATCTAGATAGGGCGTCAATGAAATCTACATATTACATCATAATCGAATCGTCTTAGTGGCATTGGTGTGTGTGTATAATACAGAGTTTTAACTAACATTCGTCGCCAGGGGCGCTATCATACACATGTACACCTATCGTCTCACTTTCTCCCAATTAAGTTTCTTGATGAAGAAATCGCACATGTAAGAAATAATCATTAAGATGAATTAAGCATTTTTCTTAAAATCAATATTGTATTCCTGTACTGTATGTGTGGTAACACTTTTGTAAACAAAGTATAACGACACGTTAAGATGTGTGAGTTGCCCCTTTGCGGGCCCCCTAACCTCGGATTATCCTCGCCTGTGTACAGTTATCTGATCCAATAGGAATGCCAACAAGTAAAAACTCTCTCAAACTTCTCCAAACTTACGCCAGGACTACATGTACTTACTTTAAAGTGACGAGATGTCTTTTGGTGAAGTTTCTTTCCAGTTGTCAACTTTAAACTCCGGTAAAGACTCCAGAATTCACACTCGGAAACTTCGGAGCAGACGTCAGCCCACAAACCGACCGACAAACCGTGTCCTTTTCCGACCCGGACGCATGGCACGTATGGTTCCTATAAATTACCGCGTATGTGTGGGGTAAAAAACGGAACGAAACCGTGAGGCAGAATAAATAGGGACACACATGTGTCAAGTTATCGGGAGTAGCGTACAGAGGTACTGGGATATGTAAGCACGTGCTAGGTCTTCAGTTTGTAAATGATCCGTGTGTAGGGAATACGTGAATAATTTCCTGAGGCGTCAACGGAGCTTTTATGTTAACGTGGTAAGGAAATAGTAGTTTGAATAGAATTATAAAGCAGGTGAAAAACGATTAAAGAATAGGATTCCGAAAATATAGGCACAGGGCCATGTCGAACCTTTAATTGAGCAAACCAACACTTAATCCATCATGTTTAGAATTAAAAAAATAAATGCTAAAGCTGATGATATATATTTTCATGGAGAGAATATTAAATCTTTTATATCGAGCTCAGTGACAGAGTTTACACAAACTCTCCTCTAACGGGTACCTACAATTCTTTACTCGTCCGGTGAAAATACAGTTTTGTATTTGAATATAACTTCTTACATAATTACTTTATAAACATATCTCTTACTTTGCATCGTCAGTTGATCCACACACAATTCTTGCTATACGTCATTATAATTGACCCACACACATTTCTTACTATAAATAATTAATTGATCTACACAGATGATTAATCATTGAAGTTCAGTCAGTCACTCTACGTAGTCTTCGGTACAATTAGTCAGAATAATTAAATTTGCAACAGCTAGCCACTGTAAAACAGCGTACATTACAACAAGTAAATGAAAAACTACGTTACAGCCAGCCACTGTAAGATCCTTGTCGCAGTCAGTCAGTGTAAAACTAGGTATGTTACCAGCAAGTCACTGTAAAACTACGTTACAGCCAGCCACTGTAAGACCCTTGTCACAGTCAGCCACTGTAAAACTACGTAACAGCAAGTCACTGTAAGACCCTTGTCACAGTCAGCTACTGTAAGACCCTTGCCACGGTCAGTCACTGTAAAACTTCGTTAAAGCCAGCAACTGTAAGACCCTTGTCACAGTCAGCTACTGTAAGACCCTTGCCACAGTCAGCGACTGTAAGACATTGTCACAGTCAGCCACTGTAAGACCCTTGTCTCAGTCAGCCACTGTAAAACCCTTGTCACAGTTAGTCACTGTAAGACCTTGTCACAGTCAGCCACTGTAAAACCCTTGTCACAGTCAACTACTGTAAAACCCTTGTCACAGTCAGTCACTGTAAGACATTGTCACAGTCAGCCACTGTAAGACCCTTGTCTCAGTCAGCTACTGTAAGACATTGTCACAGTCAGCCACTGTAAAACCCTTGTCACAGTCAGTCACTGTAAGACCTTGTCACGGTCAGCTACTGTAAAACCCTTGTCACAGTCAGTCACTGTAAGACCTTGTCACAGTCAGCCACTGTAAAACCCTTGTCACAGTCAGCCACTGTAAATCCCCTGTCACAGTCAGTCACTGTAAGACCTTGTCACAGTCAGCCACTGTAAAACCCTTGTCACAGTCAATCACTGTAAGGCCTTGTCACAGTCAGTCACTGGAAAACCCTTGTCACAGTCAGTCACTGTAAGATCTTGTCACAGTCAGCCATTGTAAGACCCTTGTCACAGTCAGTCACTGAAAGACCTTATCACATTCAGCTACTGTAAAACTACGTTACAGCAAGTCACTTAAGACCCTTGTCACAGTCATCACAGTAATTGGCAAATAAAACAATACTAGCATGTTTTGGACATACTGAATAAAGATGTACACGTATGCTAACGATACTTTAAGAAATTCGTTACACATTTGACACTTATGGATTTTTACCGCTGACAATGATAGTGATTATCATATTGTCTTCATACAGCGGTCTTGTAAGATTTATCTCCCTTTCGCCAGGTTTTACAGCTCAAATGTCATTTTTACGCGGCTACTGAAGGGCGAAACATGATTACGGCTGCGACTAAGACCAGGGTGTACGCTTGTCTACATTTCTATTATATTTACAGGCTTATTGAAAGCAAAAACCTGATCGGTTAAACTGGTTTCTCTGAGACTAGTTACATTTGCAGTGCGCAATTTATATATATTTGTATTTATTATTTGTCATAAAGGTTAAGTTGAGATCGTACCACATCGCCCCGCAATGTAACGATGTTACCAATGTCACAAACTAGACCCTTCTTCCCTAACTGAAATGTAATGGATGCAATGAGGAGAACCAGATATAAATCATTAAAATGTTTCACAAAGAAATTAATCGAAAACACTTAAATAAGAAATATTACCAACTGAGAAAATACGTTTGTCGTATATGTTGATAGATTAATTTCTATTCACTCCTACATAAACAAAATGGACACAAATTTACCTTGGTTTCAATAAGGGTCTCAACCGAAACACTACGAGTAACAACAATAAATTAAAGTAAGAAATTATTTTGTGACGTAACTAAACACAGTTCTACAATGGTACAAACGTTAGACACTCATAACTGTACACTTAACACTGTATTTTAACATGATATTACATTTATACGGGCACACTTGTACTGTATCATATCAGATTCTTTAAAGTTCCATAGAAAAGCTAATTCGTTTGACAGAATGCGTTATATTCCAGGCGCTGGAAAAATGAAAAGACGTCAACACGTTCCCTGTATTTCTAATTCTGGACAGCCCGGCAATGTCCTCTTTTCTTTATTCATATTTTAAATAGTGACCAAACCCGTAACACAATATGATATCGCTTTGTTGTACACAGTCTTCCTGGAATATTTTACGGTCCTCAGTTGAATTTTTTTTTCACATGTAAAAATGTCAAAAATCAAATGATTTTTTTTCAGTAGTTGTTTGAAAGGCGAGGCAACATCATGCAAAACGAAACGGATTTCTTTTACCGAAGTCAGTTTGCCTCGCCTAATTAGTTATCGTCAATTTATATGTCTTCAAGGCTATGAACTGTCCCGAGGGTACAGACCGTCTTGATTTACAAATATATATAAAATTATATTGATTAATTTATACTAATTGTATTAATTGTATATCTATGTACCGCAAAGCGCTTTAAAGTGGCTTATGTTAGCTAGATAGGGCACTATAGCAAATGTTGTATATCATTATTATTATATATATGCCGTATATCTGTAAACTACAGCATGTTTATACCGACAACTAAACAAGACGTTCAATCCGTGTGTTTGAACATAAATGATGTTATATACATGAATGCATTGCTAACAAGCTGCCATTAATGATTTATACCCAGTTAAGCCGTGTATACGTACTGTGTGTTTGTGTTTGTAGCACATTTAAGTTAGTGTTCAAACCCCAAGGATGAATTACTGCCCAACAATTCGTGTCACATTGTTTTTGTCAGAAAAATTATTATATATGCTGTAATAATTGTTTTATAAAGGAAATGAAAGAAAGTTTCATGAAACGTATTTTCATTTGTAATAAAAGATAAAGTTCATATTCCCTATGCAAGCCAATACTGAATAAACAAGATACACGTACAGTACAGTAGATACTTAAATATTGAACTGTTTTTGTATGGTATTTATGGTCTATTTGAATAGATCATAAATACCATACAAAAACAGTTCAATACTTATATTTATGTTCTCTCTGCCCCTTATGTTCTTTTTTAACTTATAATTTATATTTGAAATTAAAAATGCCCGCCTTATCGACAGTCCACACAATTTCGTTCAATAGTTTGAACAGCGTATTGTCGCGTGCTGAATGGCAAACAAAGTAGTACTTTGAAATTTTAACAAACACTTCAACTTTATTCCACAATTCAGTATCAATACAATTTCGTATGATATGTCTATAGGGTGATTTAAGTTTATCAATAGAACTCTGAGCTGAAAGTTAGATTTGAAATTGTTTCGATTTTTCCATGGAACAAATTTCGCGCATGGACAAATACAGTGAACACCGTAAATCCGACCTTGCCCTCCACGAGGGAGTTATTTTTGGAAGTTAATTCGAACTTTTCTTTTTGCTCATTTTGTGAAGAATCCAGGCGTGAATGTATTTGTTGATTGTATGGGAACCTGAAAACAGTCGGTATATTCTATAACAGCCTCGTTATTTGACATGTCGTCAGAAACTGAGGAACCGTGGATGCGAGACGCTTGAAACTGATAGCGTTTGAAGTGAGTGATCTTGCGACGGAGCACAGGTTCGTTACAAATGTCTGACATATTTATGTGTGCTGTCACTCATATCAGTAGGTCTGTAACATATGTGTCAGTAGGTCTATAGAATATGGGTATTTCAGACATTTGTAACGAACCCCTGTTGATCAGTGCAGTGTAACAGACGATATTTCTGATAAATTGCATGAGCGTTAAAATTGTTTCCATTGCCGGCATTGGTGATTTCAACCGATGTGCATTTTGTACGATATTGCAGACCTTGGTCTTGTTTTCGTTGTAATAAAAGTGTTTTCTATTTTATTTTTATATTTTGCACATAAATTTACAATGACATTGTCAAATCTCACAATGCCCAGCGATATTTCAGCAGCCGTCATGTCTATTTATATTGGATATTGTAGTTCCGGTCAGTGTTGTATTAATACGCTAAGATATTGTGTCTCGTGATGCACCCATCAACGACACAGCTTTCAAAGAGGCTATATAGTGACAATGCCATGCAAATGTAAATGTATGTACATAAACAGTATTTTTGTAATGAATAGTACGTCTTAAAAGGTCGTCGATAATTCCAACATGCCGTTGTTCAGTATATTCCTAAACTATTTTTTAAGTGACTATGATCGGTGACTTACCGATACAGTTCGTCCCCACTTTTCGGTATCCATCACGGCACGTGCAGATCCGTGATCCGTACGTATTGTGACACAATTGCTGGCATCCGCCATTGTCAAATAGACACTCGTTTTTGTCTGAAAATGAAACGTACCATTATTTGGTTAAATACCCAAATAAGGAATGGAATGGATGGAACCCAACTCAGTACCGGAAGAAAGAACCAGGAGAGAAAGAAATGAAGGACGAGAAAAAGTGACATACATGTCCGAGAGTAAAGGCAAAGCGAGAATTGTGAGGACAGTGAAGAAAGGACCGAAAGTGAAGATTACAAATGTACCAGGAGAAAGCCCAAACAAACGTCCGGAAGAAATGGGATTGAATGAACCAGGGGAAAACCCAAACAAACGTCCGGAAGTAATGGGAACAAACGTACCAGGAGAAAACCCAAATAAACGTCCGGAAGTAATGGGAACAAATGTACCGGGAGAAAACCAAAACCAGCGTCCGGAAATAATGGGAACAAATGAAAAGGTGAAAACCCAAACAAACGTCCGGAAGTAATGGGAAAAAATGAAAAGGTGAAAACCCAAACAAACGTCCGGAAGTAATGGGAACAAATATACCAGGAGAAAACCCAAACAAACGTCCGGAAGTAATGGGAACAAATATATCAGGAGAAAACATAAATAAACGTTCGGAAGTGATGGGAACAAATGTACAATGAGAAAATCTAAATAAACGTTGGGAAGTGATGGGAACAAATGTACCAGGAGAAAACCCAAACAAACGTCCGGAAGTAATGGGAACAAATGAAAAGTTGAAAACCCAAACAATCGTCGGGAGTAATGAGAACAAATGAAAAGGTGAAAACTCAGACAAACGTTCGGAAGTAATGGGAACAAATATACCATGAGAACACCCAAACAAACGTTCGGAAGTAATGGGATCAAATGAAAAGGTGAAAACTCAAACAAACGTTCGGAAGTAATGGGATCAAATGAAAAGGTGAAAACTCAAACAAACGTCCGGAAGAAAGGGAATCAAATAAAAAGGTGGCAACCCAAACAAACGTCCGGAAGTAAAAGGGAACAAATGAAAAGGTGAGAACTCAAACAAACGTCCGAAAGAAATGGGGAAAAATTTACCAGGAGAAAACCCAAACAAACGTTCGGAAGTAATGGGATCAAATGAAAAGGTGAAAACTCAAACAAACGTTCGGAAGTAATGGGATCAAATGAAAAGGTGAAAACTCAAACAAACGTCCGGAAGAAATGGGAACAAATGAAAAGGTGAAAACCCAAACAAACGTCCGAAGTAATGGGAACAAATGAAAAGTTGAAAACCCAAACAATCGTCGGAAGTAATGAGAACAAATGAAAAGGTGAAAACTCAAACAAACGTCCGGAAGAAAGGGAAACAAATAAAAAGGTGACAACCCAAACAAACGTCCGGAAGTAAAAGGGAACAAATGAAAAGGTGAGAACTCAAACAAACGTCCGAAAGAAATGGGGAAAAATTTACCAGGAGAAAACCCAAACAAACGTTCGGAAGTAATGGGAACAAATATACCAGGAGAAAACCCAAACAAACGTCCGGAAGTAATGGGAAAAAATGAAAAGGTGAAAACCCAAACAAACGTCCGGAAGTAATGGGAAAAAATGAAAAGGTGAAAACCCAAACAATCGTCCGGAAGTAATTGGAAAAATAGAAAAGGTGAAAACTCAAACAAACGTCCGGAAGTAATGGGAACAAATATACCAGGAGAAAACCCAAACAAACGTCCGGAAGTAATGGGAACAAATGAAAAGGGGAAAACTCAAACAAACGTCCGGAAGTAATGGGAACAAATGTACCAGGATAAAACCTAAATAAACGTTCGGAAGTGATAGGAACAAATGTACCATGAGAAAACTTAATAAACGTTCGGAAGTGATGGGCACAAATGTACCAGGAGAAAACCAAAACAAATGTCCGGAAGTAATGGGAACAAATGAAAAGGAGAAAACTCACACAAACGTCCGGAAGTAATGGGAACAAATTTACCAGGTGAAAACCCAAACAAACGTCCGGAAGTAAAAGGGAAAAAATGAAAAGGTGAAAACCAAAACAAACGTCTGGAAGTAATGGGAACGAATGAAAAGGTGAAAACTCAAACAAACGTCCGAAAGAAAGGGAAACAAATAAAAAGGTGACAACCCAAACAAACGTCCGGAAGTAAAAGGGAAAAAATGAAAAGGTGAAAACCAAAACAAACGTCCGGAAGTAATGGGAACAAAGGAAAAGGTGAAAACCCAAACAAACGTCCGGAATTAATGGGAACAAAGGAAAAGGTGAAAACTCAAACAAACGTCCGAAAGAAAGGGAAACAAATAAAAAGGTGACAACCCAAACAAACGTCCGGAAGTAAAAGGGAACAAATGAAAAGGGGAAAACTCAAACAAACGTCCGGAAGTAATGTAAACAAATGAAAAGGTGAAAATCCAAACAAACGTCCGGAAGTAATAGGAACAAATGAAAAGGTGAAAACTCAAACAAACATCCGTAAGAAACGGGAACAAATGAAAAGGTTAAAACCAAAACAAACGTCCGGAAGTAATGGGAACAAACGAAAAGGTGAAAACTCAAACAAACGTCCGAAAGAAAGGGAAACAAATAAAAAGGTGACAACCCAAACAAACGTCCGGAAGTAAAAGGGAACAAATGAAAAGGTGAAAACCCAAACAATCGTCCGGAAGTAATGGGAACAAATACACCAGGAGAAAACCCAAACAAATGTCCGGAAGTAATGGGAACAAATGAAAAGTTGAAAACTCAAACAAACGTCCGGAAGTAAAGGGAACAAATGAAAAGGTGAAAACCTAAACAAACGGCAGGAAGTAACGGGAACAAATGAAAAGGATAAAACTCAAACAAACGTCCGGAAGTAATGCGAACAAATGAAAAGGTGAAAACTCAAACAAACGCCCGGAAGTAATGGGAACAAATGAAAAGGTGTAAACCCAAACAATCTTCCGGAAGTAATGGGAACAAATACACCAGGAGAAAACCCAAACAAATGTCCGGAAGTAATGAGAACAAATATACCAGGAGAAAACCCAAACAAACGTCCGGAAGCAATGGGAACAAATGAGAAGGTGAAAACTCAAACAAACGTCCGGAATAAATGGGAACAAATATACCAGGAGAAAACCCAAACAAACGTCCGAAAGTAATGGGAACAAATGAAAAGGTGAAACCTCAAACAAACGTCCGGAAGTAATGGGAAAAATGAAAAGGTGAAAACTCACACAAACGTCCGGAAGAAATGGGAACAAATGAAAAGGGGAAAACTCAAACAAACGACCGGAAGTAATGGGAACAAATGTACCAGGAGAAAACCGGGGGAAACGTCCGGAAGTAATGGGAACAAATGATTGAATGAACCAGGGGAAAACCCAAACAAACGTCCGGAAGTAATGGTAACAAATGAAAAGGTGAAAACTCAAACAAACATCCGTAAGAAACGGGAACAAATGAAAAGGTTAAAACCAAAACAAACGTCCGGAAGTAATGGGAACAATTGAAAAGGCGAAAACTCAAACAAACGTCCGGAAGTAATGTAAACAAATGAAAAGGTGAAAATCCAAACAAACGTCCGGAAGTAATAGGAACAAATGAAAAGGTTAAAACCGAAACAAACGTCCGGAAGTAATGGGACCAAATGAAAAGGTGAAAACTCAAACAAACGTCCGAAAGAAAGGGAAACAAATAAAAAGGTGACAACCCAAACAAACGTCCGGAAGTAAAAGGGAAAAAATGAAAAGGTGAAAACCAAAACAAACGTCCGGAAGTAATGGGAACAATTGAAAAGGCGAAAACTCAAACAAACGTCCGGAAGTAATGCGAACAAATGAAAAGGTGAAAACTCAAACAAACATCCGTAAGAAACGGGAACAAATGAAAAGGTTAAAACCAAAACAAACGTTCGGAAGTAATGGGAACAAATTTACCAGGTGAAAACCCAAACAAACGTCCGGAAGTAATGGTAACAAATGAAAAGGTGAAAACTCACACAAACGTCCGGAAGTAATGGGACCAAATGAAAAGGTGAAAACTCAAACAAACGACCGGAAGTAATGGGAACAAATGTTCCAGGAGAAACCCTAAATAAACGTTCGGAAGTGATGGGAACAAATGAAAAGGTGAAAACCCAAACAATCTCCCGGAAGTAATGGGAACAAATACACCAGGAGAAAACCCAAACAAATGTCCGGAAGTAATGGGAACAAATGAAAAGGAGAAAACTCAAACAAACGTCCGGAAGTAATGGAAACAAATGAAAAGGTTAAAACCCAAACAAACGTCCGGAAGTAATGGTAACAAATGAAAAGGTGAAAACTCAAACAAAAGTCCGGAAGTAATGGGAACAAATGTTCCAGGAGAAAACCTAAATAAACGTTCGGAAGTGATGGGAACAAATGAAAAGGTGAAAACCCAAACAAACATCCGTAAGAAACGGGAACAAATGAAAAGGTTAAAACCAAAACAAACGTCCGGAAGTAATGGGAACAAAGGAAAAGGTGAAAACCCAAACAAACGTCCGGAATTAATGGGAACAAAGGAAAAGGTGAAAACTCAAACAAACGCCCGGAAGTAATGGGAACAAATGAAAAGGTAAAAACTCAAACAAACGTCCGGAAGTAATGCGAACAAATGAAAAGGTGAAAACTCAAACAAAAGTCCGGAAGTAATGGGAACAAATGTTCCAGGAGAAACCCTAAATAAACGTTCGGAAGTGATGGGAACAAATGAAAAGGTGAAAACCCAAACAAACGTCCGGAATTAATGGGAACAAAGGAAAAGGTGAAAACTCAAACAAACGTCCGGAAGTAATGGGAACAAATGTTCCAGGAGAAAACCTAAATAAACGTTCGGAAGTGATGGGAACAAATGAAAAGGTGAAAAACCAAGTAAATGATAAAGGCAAAGACAAAGAAAGGATCAGTAAAAAGACCAGGAACGAAGACAAAGGACAGGGTTGAACAACAAATGATCGATCATTAGAAAAGAAATTGAACAAAAGCAAAAAGAAAGGCTTATAATTAAAGACAAGAAGAGCACAAGAATAAAATATAAATAAAAGGACCAAGAATTCTGAAGAATAAAGCACTACGACATATTACCCAAAGAAGGAGAAGAGGAGATGTATACATCTGAAGACAAACAAAAGAGTAAACATTTTATGAACATTGGACCGAAATGTTAAAAAATGAAAAGGATGTTCATGCAAAAATATGATCTCAGGAGCTTTAACGTACCAAAAGTCTATTTCCTGTGAACTTACCGAAGCAGTCCCTCCCGTTGCTATGGAGAAGGAATCCTCGGAAACAGTCACACGCGAACCTGTTCCTGATCCCGGGCACACAGATCTGGTGACATAGACGGCGATTTCCCTGGCACGCTGTCGATTCGAGCGCTACAGATGAACATAAGTCAGGTCGTTTTGAGTTATGTACTGTAATAATATCTTGTTAAGAGAATAACAGCCAGAATGGACACATAGTTCTGTAGCGTTTATTTTGAATAGTTCCAATTTAACTTATTGTCGTATTTGGCTACTGTTAAGGGAAGGTAATATCAAGTATTATCTAGCTATGTGCCGTGTGAGTGAGCACTACTTACGTTTTATACATTTCGGTTGTACAGGAGCAACCCACTGGTAATTCTGACAGTAGTAGTAGCGCGTGATGTTATTTTCGATGACGTAACCAGGATCACACGTGTAGTTGGTGACGAGGACGTATCTTCGCTTCTGTGTGTTATACAGGTAGCGGGGAGAGGCTGTTCCATGATCTATTTCCGGTGGTGCCTTATAGCGGTATCGGAAACACGTATTGTCACTTACTCGTAGGTTGGATTCAAAATCAATGGCGGAAACATTAAAAGCCAATGGATCACGCACATGTCTGCCAGGAAGGTTCCGGTTCTGGGGATCAGCGCGTGTCTTCACAGAGGACCCTGGTAATAGGACACAAAGTAAATGTGTTGAAGAGCACGACAAAGAAAAAAACCCACTGAAGATACATGCCATATATGCAGGTTTATTTAAGGTATTTTTTACACTAAAACGTACCCCAGAGTAACAATAAAAGAACGGCCCTGTTCGTACAATAGTTCTTAACGTAGGTATTTGATGCTGATCAATATTAAAGGGGAAGCAATGACGTAAACATTTGTAATGTATTACCGTTTCACGTGACTTACCTACACAGGCCGGGAAAGGTTTTGTCCAGTTCTGACCGTTACAATAAGACTGTTCCTGTCCAATCAAGTAGTGGCCACGGCCACACGAGAAGTGAGCCACCGCACCGTTCTTGTCCAGACGTACATTCATGTTATGGGCCACCTCTGGGGGATCACATCCGGTGGCTTAAATACGTACAACAAATGAGAGCAAGGGAATGTAAACAATTGCTACAGCATATACATGTTTTTTTCTAACCAAAACAATGTGACACAGATTGCTGGGCAGTAATTCAACCTTGGGGTGATGAACACTATCTGAAATGTGCCACAAACACAATACACACAGCAGGTGGCTTAACTGGTTATAAATCATTAGCACACTCCGATTAAAAGTCGTTTTGTATGGAACAACTCAGCCACGTAGACCCATTGACATTATCAAGAACAAATATCAAATTAATTATCATGAATTTCATTTCCTTTAAAAAAATCAAATTCGTTCCAATTACTTTTGTTAAGAGTTAAGATATTACAAAAGTTGTGAGTTTAGGATTTTAAACTCAAATGTTAAGTTACATAATATGGGTTTGAGATTACCTACGCATTTCGGTTTCTCAATGGTCCACCTTCCCTCATCTGTAATGCACGCGCCAAAGGTTTCCCCGTTGGCGAAGAATCCCTCGTCACAAATATACTCGACGAGGAGGTTTGCACCCCACACCACCACTCGGCCGTACTCCAGCTCAATAGGGGGAGTGCATACAGGCATTTCTACAGGGTATACAAGTACAAAATGTACAAAAACAAAGTAATTTCTAACGGAAACACAAACGCACAGCTACCAATACCAGAATAAGAGCACAACAATCTCTAGAAAGAGGTACATACATCTACGAAGGAGATACCACACAGCCATCTCCAGAGGGAGATGTAAACACAACAATCACTAAAGGGAGATATAAACACAACAATCACTAAAGGGAGATATAAACACAACGACCTATCTATAAAGCGAGATGTACAAACAACCACCTATCTATAAGGCGATATATAAACACAACCACCAAGCTTTAAAGGGAGATATACAAACATCCACCTATCTATAAAGGAAGATATAAACACACTAATCTAGCTCTAAAGGGAGATATACAATCATCCACTATCTATAAAGGGAGATATAAACACATCCAGCTATCGATTAAGCAAGATATAAAGACAACCACCTAGCTCTAAAGAGAGATATAAACACAACCATCTATAAAGGGAGATATCAACACAACCACCTATCTCTAAAAGGATATATAAATACAACCACCCATCTATAAAGGGAGATATAAACACATACATATAGCTCTAAAGGATATATAAACACAGCCACCTAGCTCTAAAGGGAGATATAAACACAACCACATATCTATAAGGGAAATATAAACACATCCACCTCGTTCTAAAGGGAGATATAAACACATACACCTAGCTCTAAAGGGAGATATAAACACAACCACCTATCTATAAAGGGAGATATAAACACAACCACCTATCTATAAAGGGAGATCTAAACATAGCCACCTAGCTCTAAAGTGATATACAAAACCAAACCACCTATCAATAAAGGGAGATATAAACACAACCATCTATATATAAAGGGAGATATAAAGACAGCCACCTAGCTCTAAAGGGAGATAACAACACAACCACCTATCTATAAAGGGAGATATAAACACAACCTATCTATAAAGGGAGATATAAACACAGCCACCTATCTATATATAAAGGGAGATATCAACGCAACCATCTATAAAGGGAAATATAAACACAATCACCTAGCTTTAAAGGGAGATATAAACACGACCATAGCTAAAGGGAGATATAAACACAACCACCTATCTATAAAGGGAGATATAAACACAAACACCTATCTATAAAGGGAGATATAAACACAGCCACCTATCTATAAAGGGAGATAAAACATAGCCACCTATCTATAAATGGATTTATAAACACAGCCACCTATCTATAAAGGGGGATAGAAACACATCCAACTAGCTCTAAAAGGAGATATAAACACAACCACCTATCTATAAAGGGAGATATAAACACAGCCACCTATATATAAAGGGAGATATAATCACAACCACCTATCTATAAATGGAGATATTATCACAGCCACTTATCTATACAGAGAGATAAACACAACCACCAATCTAGAAAGGGAGCTATAAACACATCTACCTAGCTCTAAAGGGAGATATAAACACAACCACCTATCTATGAAGGTAGATATAAACACAGCCATCTAGCTCTAAAGGGAGATATAAACACAACCATATCTAAAGGGAGATATAAACATAACCACCTATCTATAAAGGGAGATATAAACACAACCACATATCCATAATGGGAGATATAAACACAGCCACCTCGCTCTAAAGGGAGATATAAACACATCCACCTAGCTCTAAAGGGAGATATAAACACAGCCACCTATATATAAAAGGGAGATATAAACACAACCATCTATAAAGGGAGAAATAAGCACAACCACCTATCTATACAGGGAGATAAAAACACAGGCACCTAGTTCTAAAGGGAAATATAAACACAACCACCTATCTCTAAAGGGAGATATAAACATAACCACCTATCTATAAAGGGAGATATAAACACAACCACATATCCATAATGGGAGATATAAACACAGCCACCTAGCTTTAAAGGGAGATATAAACCCATCCACCTATCTCTAAAGGGAGATATAAACATAACCCCCTATCTATAAAGGGAGATATAAACACAACCACATATCCATAATGGGAGATATAAACACAGCCACCTAGCTCTAAAGGGAGATATAAATACAACCATCTATAAAGGGAAATACAAACACAACCACCTAACTCTAAAGGGAGATATAAACACAACCATCTCTAAAGGGAGATATAAACACCGCCACCTAGCTCTAAAGGGAGATATAAACACAACCACCTAATTATAATGGGAGATATAAACACAGCCACCTAGCTTTAAAGGGAGATATAAACACAGCCACCTAGCTCTAAAGGGAGATATAAACACAACCATCTATAAAGGGAGATATAAACACAGCCACCTAGATCTAAGGGAGATATAAACACAGCCACCTATCTATAAAGGGAGATATAAACACAACCATCTATAAAGGGAGAAATAAACACACCACCTATCTATAAAGGGAGATAAAAACACAGGCACCTAGTTCTAAAGGGAAATATACAAACATCCACCTATCTATGAAAGAGAGATATAAACACAGCCACCTATCTATAAAGGGAGATATAAACACAACCACCTATCTATAAAGGGAGAAATAAACACAACCACCTATCTATAAACGGAGATAAAAACACATCCACCTAGCTCTAAAGGGAGATATACAACCATCCACCTATCTATAAAGGGAGATATAAACACAACTTATCTATAAAGTGAGATATAAACACAACCATCTATAAAGGGAAAAATTAACACAACCACCCATCTATAAAGGGAGATAAAACCATAGCCACCTATCTATAAAGGTTTTTTTTAAACACAACCACCTAGCTTTAAACGGAGATATAAACACATCCACCTATCTATAAAGGGAGATATAAACACATCCACCTTTCTATTAAAGGGAGATATAAACACACCACCTAGCTTTAAACGGAGATATAAACACATCCACCTATCTTTAAAGGGAGATATAAACACATCCACCTATCTATAAAAGGGAGATATAAACGCATCCATCTATAAAGGGAGATATAAACACAACCACATATCTCTAAAGGGAGATATAAGCCATTTTTACCAGAATTACACAGTAAATTATACTAACAAAACATTTAGTATCGTGCTTACACTTATTTACTGTACCACCATACAAGATAAATATATGATATGGACAAACTCACTGAGTACAACATAAATCACTTAATGAACAACATTATAAAACTAAAAACACAGTTTTACTCTATGTAACGGCCTTAACGAAAAATATAGAAGACCATCATATTTGTGTGAGTACTTCCGGTTAATAAGCGTCGAAACAGAATTCATATTAAAGCAATATAGGAGAATAATAATATTATACATAATTTGGTATATTTCTTTTTAAGGCATATTTAATGTTGTTTTAAAAATCTTTTTCAAATCTTTTTATCATTACGTCGGAAAACTGCTGTGTATGGTGATCTTCGGTCCTGAGGAAGGATGTGTGGAGCAACATTTCAAATAAACAATCGTCATGCGGGGTGGGGGTAAACACGTACATGTTAATACAAGGAAAACAGGCGCGTGGAGTTTGACAAAAATACACATTTAAGAAATTGTCTGATAGAACAAAACACTATCGTTTTTTTCGATCCATGCCCATCATCGTACTCTGTGTCTTACCTGCAGCTTCAGTTTCCATGGAGGGAACATCTGGAATTGTCATTAGAAGAGCGGATAAAAGAAACTCTAGCCATATTGAGGTCGCCATTTTGGAGCAAGCCACTTACAAAAAACTGTTTCGTTGTAGTGGTTGTGAGAGTAACGGGAGCGCTGGGGCAGAGCTCAATGGGAACCAAGTGGTCCACTTCCGGTTACAGCTCGGCTGTTATGTGAGGACAAGTCATGTGTATTACTGACAAAGTAGTGTCAGCTTGATGTGAAACATTTTACACACCACGTTGTCCCATAGGTCCGCTATCAAAATTATCTTGATATTCCACTTAATAACATGAACTTGTTTTGCCGTGCCATGTTTCTCTCAGACATCTATTTATTGATAGAGATGTGTGTATCTTGTTGTAAGTGTTAGTGACAATCGGTCACTACTGTTCAAATCAATCGCAATGAAATGGCAACTCTGTAGTGTGTATCCATTGGTGATGCGGTATCTTAATGATACTACTAATACTAATTAGGCTGGCGCTGCATGCGTAATATCGTTTTAGTCGGGGTGTAAAGCTGACCGCACTCCAGGCGTTTTAAAGGTCAGTAACCTAGTATAGGGTCACCACTGCTGAAGACGGCAGCGAACCCTCAAGTGTCCTTAGTAGAGAGTGGGCCTTTAGAAGAGGTAAATTGGTGGATATATTAACTCATACATACATGTATAACATATCAACTGAAGACGCAGTTTGGGGTCAACTGATATATACGTTCCTGGGTTTATACAACAATGACGTACCGACGAAAACTCAAGCTAATAACTGATAACTTCTTCTAAATTAAATATCACCTTTTGCGATAAGATGTGCACTCGATTGCAACGGTTATTCTATATTTTTAGACACACTCAGTTGTTTATAAACATCGTCATGACTAGGACCAGATACTTCAAATCACCACGTTTTTCATATTACCTTTCTTGCGACGGCGTCAAATCCAATCATGACATAAACATATGAATATTTATTTACTAGAACGTATGGTACTGGTATAAATCTGAACCGCAGATATCATATAAGTGCTAAAAAAAGACCGAATGTGATATGACGCAGATAATTTACGTCACAACAAGACTATATAATCTCTAAACGAAGTATGCTTGGCTCGATCACATATATACTACGGACTTATTTCAATACAATTGTGCATTTTATTAACCTCAAAATAAACACATGATTAGAACAATGTAACAACGATTCTTCGTTTTTCATTTTCCTATTCTTATATTGTCTCTAGAAACGTCAACAAAGGAAACTGAAAGCCTAATTTCTGCTTCAAATGTTACATAAATAAGTGAATTTGGAAACAATCTCTGTAAAATCAGTGTGTAGATATAAGTGCTGATATTGTATTTTATAGCAATTGAAAAGTACAATGAATGATGGTTGAATGATATGAACATTGTTAAAGATACTTGATACATGTATGTACATCATATTGGTGATATGTACATAATATAGGCGATATTTTGTATATAAGATAGGTGATATTTTGTATATAATATAGGTGATATGTACATAAGAAAGGTGATATTTTGTATATAAGATTGGTGATATGTACATAATAAAGATGATATTTTGAACATAAGATTGGTGATATGTACATACTATAGATGATATTTTGAACATAAGATTGGTGATATGTACATAATATAGATGATATTTTGTATATGAGATTGATGATATGTACATAATATAGGTGACATTTTGTATAAAATAGGTGATATGTACATACTATAGATGATTTGTACATAAGATAGGTGATATTTTGTATATAAGATTGGTGATATGTACATAATATAGATGATATTTTGTACATAAGGTTGGTGATATGTACATAATATAGATGTTATTTTGTATATAAGATTGGTGATATGTACCTACTATAGATGATATTTTGAACATAATATTGGTGATATGTACATAATATAGATGATACTTTGTATATAAGGTTGGTGATATGTACATAATATAGGTGATATTTTGAACATAATATTGGTGATATGCACATAATATAGATGATATTTTGTATATAAGGTTGGTAATATGTACATAATATAGATGATATTTTGTAGATAAGGTTGGTGATATGTACATAATATAGATGTTATTTTGTATATAAGATTGGTGATATGTACCTACTATAGATGATATTTTGTATATAAGATTGGTGATTTGTACATAATATAGATGATATTTTGTATATAAGATTTGTGATATGTACATAATATAGATGATATTTTGTATATTAGGTTGGTGATATGTACATAATATAGATGATATTTTGTAGATAAGGTTGGTGATATGTACATAATATAGGTGATATTTTGAACATAATATTGGTGATATGTACATAATATAGATTATATTTTGTATATAAGATTGTTGATATGTACATGCTATAGATGATATTTTGTATATAAGATTGGTGATTTGTACATAATATAGATGATATTTTGTATATAAGATTGGTGATATGTACATACTATAGATGATATTTTGTATAAAAGATTGGTGATATGTACATACTATAGATGATATTTTGTATATAAGATGTGTTATGGAACTTTCCATTGTCCCATATAGAGACATACAAAACATATGACACATACACTAGACATATAAAACTAATCTCCGGTAAACTTTAAACAGCTTTACTCAAACATAACATCAGAAAGTATTAACGTTAACATACTTATAAATCAGTAACACTTTTTCCGGATATCGTCATACTAGTTTGCAACCTCAACCACACACACAGAGTACATTGTTTGTCATCTTTCTAAGAGTGGAAACATTTATTTGAATATGATTCGTGTGTTGTTGGTCCCTTCAATTCAGTCGAATATCAGAGTTTCGTATGATATGGCACCAACGACATACTTCAGGGATATAGTCACATTTCAAGTGTTATATTCATGTATGCTGCAGACGCTGAATTCCTGACCCGTTGGTAAGACATCAGTATCCAGAATGAGGCTTTATCGACGGCATTATTGCACGAAGGTTGCGATTTTCCAGTCTACCTCACCGACAGATAGGTATTTCATCCCATTACCACAGTTTGAAGTGATCATCCCATTCACTTAACATTACTAGATAGTCACTCACAGGGGGTCACAATTTTCGATGTGAAGGACAAAAAAATACTCTTGTGTTGGTGTTTTCATGTAAATAAGAACTTTGGCTTGAAGTTTTGGACGTTTCGATATTTTCTCGCATATATATTAACTAAAATGTACCCTACTAGTAAAATAACCACGCCCACGAATATTCCAAACAGAGTGTAGTGAGCCCAGGTTAACACAGCACGCTTTATCGATCTCGGAGCTGTAAAATAAGATTATATCATATCACATTGCTGGTACAAATAAGAAAATGATTAACTTAATGGAAAGATAAATAAATGAATAAATCGATGAAAAATAAACTAAAGTACTACGGAGGAACGTCGGTGTAAAACGTTGAAGTCCGCGCAACATAACATGCTAAATAGTCTACATGTAATCAATCGCTCAAGTTATTTATCACTACAGTTACTGGAGCATTGCTCTGTACATTACATTTTATGAACGACACATGTTCACAAAAACAAAACGTTTCTTATATAACTGTTCAAACTCGAAGGCTGACTAACACGGTTTTAGAATGGAGAACTAATAATAAAGGTACATGTACCAATACTCTTTATATCAGTTTAGCAGGGGTTTAAAATACAGTTAGAATAAGTTATAACTAGAATTGTGACGTCAGACGTATCAATGGCATCATGTAGAGAATCACCTACGTTTGGACTTTGCCCAAAACTCGATCCTGAAGCCAGGATTGGAGTGATGTCTGGCGCTGGCAGTGAACACCACGTGGGAAGACCGGCGTGTACCCGTGAGAATTCCCCGGGGGAACATATATCCGCACCAGGAGTCCAATTCCGGGTACCATTCGTTCGGCCCTGTAACAGACTATAACGTGATCATTCCTGAGAACAATCGCGGCCCTTATGTTCAAAATGAACATTTAGAACGAAAATTGTCATGAATCTAAATGTTATTTTTCATTTTTTCACAACAAAAAAGCAATGCCTAAGTTCGGGAAAATCTACACCTACGTACATTAGAAGCAGACAGAAACGGAAGTACCTGTAAGTAAGGGTGATACATTTATAAAGCTCCACCATTTAGTTCTGTAAAAGTTATGTCAGAGACTATGCTACAAATACACCACATGTACAATACATAGCGTACGGTGTTACAACTGTGGTTGTCTCCCATGAATAGATTCCTTTACCGTTGTAGATGATGATAGCTTCCTCGTAGCAGGGCGTTGCGTCTCGGATACGACAGTCGATCACCTTAAAATTGACAACACCGTACGGTATAGAGGCATTGGCGGTGAGGTACCACTCGTATGTCAGTACACTGAAACATAAAACAGCCTCATACGGCACTGTAATTATGTAACGTAAACACACTCGTATGACAGTACACTGAAACATAAAACAGTCTCATACGTTGGAGTGATTATGTAACGTAAACACACTCGTATGTCAGTACATTGAAACATCAAACAGTCTCATACGTCACTGTGATTATGTAACGTAAACACACTCGTATGTCAGTACATTGAAACATCAAACAGTCTCATACGTCACTGTGATTATGTAACGTAAACACACTCGTATGTCAGTACATTGAAACATCAAACAGTCTCATACGTCACTGTGATTATGTAACGTAAACACACTCGTATGTCAGTACACTGAAACATAAAACAGTCTCATACGTCACTGTAATTATGTAACGTAAACACACTCGCATGTCAGTACACTGAAACATAAAACAGTCTCATACGTGACTGTAATTATGTAACGTAAACACACTCGTATGTCAGTACACTGAAACATAAAACAGCCTCATACGTCACTGTAATTATGTAACGTAAACACACTCGTATGTCAGTACACTGAAACATAAAACAGTGTATACGTCACTGTAATTATGTAACGTAAACACACTCATATGTCAGTACACTGAAACATAAAACAGTCTCATACGTCACTGTAATTATGTAACGTAAACACACTCATATGTCAGTACCCTGAAACATAAAACAGTCTCATACGTCACTGTAATTATGTAACGTAAACACACTCATATGTCAGTACCCTGAAACATAAAACAGTCTCATACGTCACTGTAATTATGTAACGTAAACACACTCATATGTCAGTACCCTGAAACATAAAACAGTCTCATACGTCACTGTAATTATGTAACGTAAACACACTCATATGTCAGTACCCTGAAACATAAAACAGTCTCATACGTCACTGTAATTATGTAACGTAAACACACTCATATGTCAGTACCCTGAAACATAAAACAGTCTCATACGTCACTGTAATTATGTAACGTAAACACACTCATATGTCAGTACCCTGAAACATAAAACAGTCTCATACGTCACTGTAATTATGTAACGTAAACACACTCATATGTCAGTACCCTGAAACATAAAACAGTCTCATACGTCACTGTAATTATGTAACGTAAACACACTCATATGTCAGTACCCTGAAACATAAAACAGTCTCATACGTCACTGTAATTATGTAACGTAAACACACTCATATGTCAGTACCCTGAAACATAAAACAGTCTCATACGTCACTGTAATTATGTAACGTAAACACACTCATATGTCAGTACCCTGAAACATAAAACAGTCTCATACGTCACTGTAATTATGTAACGTAAACACACTCATATGTCAGTACCCTGAAACATAAAACAGTCTCATACGTCACTGTAATTATGTAACGTAAACACACTCATATGTCAGTACCCTGAAACATAAAACAGTCTCATACGTCACTGTAATTATGTAACGTAAACACACTCATATGTCAGTACCCTGAAACATAAAACAGTCTCATACGTCACTGTAATTATGTAACGTAAACACACTCATATGTCAGTACCCTGAAACATAAAACAGTCTCATACGTCACTGTAATTATGTAACGTAAACACACTCATATGTCAGTACCCTGAAACATAAAACAGTCTCATACGTCACTGTAATTATGTAACGTAAACACACTCATATGTCAGTACCCTGAAACATAAAACAGTCTCATACGTCACTGTAATTATGTAACGTAAACACACTCATATGTCAGTACCCTGAAACATAAAACAGTCTCATACGTCACTGTAATTATGTAACGTAAACACACTCATATGTCAGTACCCTGAAACATAAAACAGTCTCATACGTCACTGTAATTATGTAACGTAAACACACTCATATGTCAGTACCCTGAAACATAAAACAGTCTCATACGTCACTGTAATTATGTAACGTAAACACACTCATATGTCAGTACCCTGAAACATAAAACAGTCTCATACGTCACTGTAATTATGTAACGTAAACACACTCATATGTCAGTACCCTGAAACATAAAACAGTCTCATACGTCACTGTAATTATGTAACGTAAACACACTCATATGTCAGTACCCTGAAACATAAAACAGTCTCATACGTCACTGTAATTATGTAACGTAAACACACTCATATGTCAGTACCCTGAAACATAAAACAGTCTCATACGTCACTGTAATTATGTAACGTAAACACACTCATATGTCAGTACCCTGAAACATAAAACAGTCTCATACGTCACTGTAATTATGTAACGTAAACACACTCATATGTCAGTACCCTGAAACATAAAACAGTCTCATACGTCACTGTAATTATGTAACGTAAACACACTCATATGTCAGTACCCTGAAACATAAAACAGTCTCATACGTCACTGTAATTATGTAACGTAAACACACTCATATGTCAGTACCCTGAAACATAAAACAGTCTCATACGTCACTGTAATTATGTAACGTAAACACACTCATATGTCAGTACCCTGAAACATAAAACAGTCTCATACGTCACTGTAATTATGTAACGTAAACACACTCATATGTCAGTACCCTGAAACATAAAACAGTCTCATACGTCACTGTAATTATGTAACGTAAACACACTCATATGTCAGTACCCTGAAACATAAAACAGTCTCATACGTCACTGTAATTATGTAACGTAAACACACTCATATGTCAGTACCCTGAAACATAAAACAGTCTCATACGTCACTGTAATTATGTAACGTAAACACACTCATATGTCAGTACCCTGAAACATAAAACAGTCTCATACGTCACTGTAATTATGTAACGTAAACACACTCATATGTCAGTACCCTGAAACATAAAACAGTCTCATACGTCACTGTAATTATGTAACGTAAACACACTCATATGTCAGTACACTTAAACATAAAACAGTATCATACGTCACTGTAATTATGTAACGTTAATACACTCATATGTCAGTACACTAAAACATCAAAGTGAAACAATCACATACGTCACTGCAACTTACGTTTGTAGTTAAAGCTAAAGCAGGCCGAAATCTAAGGTTGTTAGCTAGAATACTTACTTTCCGTAAGGTTTGGGGTAGTTTGGTGACGTCATAATCTGTTTCTCGTTTCCAACCGTTATATAGGTCTTCACCGTCGTACGACTAGCATCTTAAAAAGCAATTTTATTCCGGCGTTATTTTCGTGATTATATTTATTCATACATGTAAGCAACTTTTTTTCAGTGGGCAGGTTTGTTGAAGACAAATGAAAAATAAAACGAAATGAGGTGTGAAATGTTCTCGCTATTTAAATTGAGACTCGGGTGTAATAAATCCTTTGTCACTCGAAAACCATGCAATAACATCTACTTATCTAACGATGTGAGTATGAACCCAGGCCCTGAAGTGACCACCACAGTGTGGAATGTCCAGTCAACCGAGACGACATTTACCTGTATAAAGTGTACAGACGTATACCATAGTGGCTGTCTGAACAATGATAATACTATTGAACTAAATTCAACCCTAGAGTGGGTCAGTGACAAATGTGTTGTTAACTTTTCCCGGAATTATGACTTTCATATCTCTTCGGACAAATATGTTCAAAACTTATCGAAGGGAATGAAATTTGCACACTTAAATATTTGTGGTATTTCTAACAAACTTGACCATATCAAGATACTTTTAGGTAAAGGACTTCTGATGTCTTAGCGTTAACTGAAAGTAAACTTGATGATTCTACGGATCCACAGGATGTCTCCATTCACGGATACATGGCATACCACCGGGAGTGACACCGACACGGTGGAGGAGATATAGTTTACGTCAAATAATCTTTGACTGTAGAAGATGAATCTTCATTAATTCCTGACGGAAATGAAGTACTGGCTTTAAAAATAAAGCAAAGCAATTCTTCTTGTATACAATGTGTTTCAGTAGAACGACCTCCAAGTGAAAAAGTTGACTGGTTTCCTCGTTTCGACCAGATCATAGAGTTCATATCTACACCCAACCATCCATTAATTGTTATGGGCGATTTCAATATTGACGAACCGACAAACAAAAAACTAAAAAACTCAAATGGACAATTTATGGTTTAGACCAAAATATTTTGTCTCCGACAAGAAAACGAAAGACAAAAACTTTAATAGACCATATTTATACCTCCCACTCATTTTGTTGTACAGAGGCGGGAGTAATCCTTTAAGGAATAAATGATCATGACATGGTTTATGCCATTAGAAAATCAAATAAATCCAATTCAAACGATGAATATGTAAAAATTAATTACAGAAACTTCAAAAAAGTTAATAGTGACGAATTCAAAGCTGACATGATGCCGTGGTCAGTCATTGAGGTCTTCTACAATATCGATGATGCATGGGACTCTTTTTAACAATTATTTTATAATGTCATAGATAAACACATGCCTTTAAAAGAAAAACGTGTAAGTGCTAAGTCTGAAAAAATGGATAAATGATGATGTACTCAGCGAAGTGCACACACGTGATTACCTGCATGATAAGGCAAGATCATCTAAAAAAGGCACTGACTGGGATTTGTATAAAGCTTCCAGAAATAGAGTTCTAATTAGAATAAAACAAGCAAAACGTGATTATCTTGCTGAAGGTATGCTTCAATGCCGAAACAACTCTAATGATATGTGGAAAAGGATTAAAGATTTCCTACCATCATCCAAATCAAATAGTGTCCCCTATAGCTAGTCCCAATTTAAATAGCGAGAACATTTCAGGAAATGAAGATATTTGAAATGCTTTTAATGATTACTTTTGCAGTATTGGGCTGGAATTTAGGAAGTAAGTTTGTTTCAAGTTTACTAATTTTAGATTATTTTACCCCTAATGAAAATAAGTTTTCCATCCCATTAATCACACCTGACTTTGTAAGAAAACAAATAGCAGAGTTGCGTGATGGAAACGCTACTGGTATTGATGGAATTTCTATCAAATTATTAAAACTAGCAGGTGACTCAATTATTGAACCTTTAACATATATTTTTTACAAGTCCATAAATATTGTTTCGTTTCCTACTGACTGGAAAAAGGCAAAAGTCATCCCAATTTCTAAATCTGGTGACATGACCTCTGTAAATAATTACAGGCCTATATCTGTCCTCTCTGTTGCCAGTAAAATTTTAGAGACACATGTACATAACTCTGTATATGAATATTTGTCATCAAATAAATTACTGTCTGATTCCCAATATGGTTTCAGACCTAACCATTCCACAGAAACTGCTCCTACCGGTTTAGTAGATCAGTGGTCCAAAATTATTAACGATGGTAAATTAACATGTGTTTTATTTTTAGATTTATGTAAAACCTTTGATACTGTGAACCACGAAGTGTTGCTACTTAAGCTCAAGGCTTACGGTGTTTCAGAACAATCAATGAAATGTTTCAGATCGTATCTATATGACAGAGTGCAAGCTGTCAATTTTAAAGGTGTATTATCATCCTTCAAAAACATAAATATTGGTGGCCCCCAAGGTTCGATACTGGGACTTTTATTTGTTATACTTCATTATTCATATGAATGTTTAAAAGTATTCATCAGTGACAATGTATGCTGACGACACCCCACAAATTGTTAAAGGTGAGTCAGTTAATGACGTTGAGAGAAAATTAAGTGAGGACCTTCAGTTATCATGTAAGTGGATAACCCAAAACAAAATGAGTCTTAACCTTACAAAAACTCAGTGTATACTAATTGGTTCTTCCCAGAAGCTCCCAAAACTTAGAATATTGTGCATTAAAGTAGACGATGTAAGCATTGGTTTTTTAAAGCAAAATGTATTTACTTATGTCAGCAAGGTTTCAACTAGGACTACCCGTTCTTTAACATAAACAACCCTCTACATACTGAAGAGACACGAAACGCTACAAGCCTTCTGTCTTTTAAAATGTTATATCTTAGCAACTATTAAATTTCCATTCATATATTATAGTTAAGATGTGTTCATTTTAATATGTCCTTGGTGTAAGAACTTTTTACTAAAGTGATGGTGCAGTGGACAGACCTCGCAGGAATGGACCTCCCCAACTCTTGGAAAGCTCCATTGTGCCTCACTGAACTATTATCTTATACCGGTAGCATTATATATGCTTTTTTTCTTTTTCTTTTTCTATGTAAGTGATGTTGTGTAAAATTTCATAGTGTGTTTATATGTGTCTTTTACAGGGCCATATTGTAAACTAGACGAAAGTCTAAATATGTTACTCTGTCTAAAAAAAAGAATTTATTATTATTATTATTACTATAATTATATTTATTTTGGAACCACTAATCATGGTCTTATCACTTTGTTTATCATATAATCTTTTCGTGACGAAATATCGAAAAAAAAGACGAACACTTGCGTAAAATAACGAAAACATTATTAAACTCTTAGGTAGTTTTTCATCGTTTTGTTTGACAATCGACACGTTCAACTAGTTAAATATATAATTCTGTATGAATTTAATTTCCATTTACTCTTCCTGCCGTGTGACAGGGGACATACATTTGTAGTTTCCTACTTAGCTACTATCTTTACCACTCTATGACTTTAACACTACCGTATCCTCTGATAAATAATAAACAAACGTGACCTTATTGTAAAATATAACTGAATTATGCATTCTATTGTAAATTGATAAAAATACATTAATAAAAATCTAAATAGATAAAAATGAATACAGCACTGCTATGGTTTCGAACCTTTTATGTTTACATAAAAGTTTCGTTTTGTCTTCGCTCTATAAAACTCGTGCACATTTTATATTACTGCAAAGTCCTAGAATGGAAAATAAAGTAATTCTGGTACATAAGTATGTTTTTCGGAAGGACCCAATGCACGTTTATTTACCGGAACTGTTGATGTAAATAAACACATTAAAAAGGATATTACAGCGGTAATCCTAAATCAATTTTCTGAAGTCGGGGAAACCGCATGTCAATTGAGAGAAATTAAATGAACCATTATTAAAGATATTGATTCTGTCAAAAAACAGTATGAACAAAGTTTTCTTTAGATATCTCTTCAAAACATATTTATCAGTTAAGCGGAATATCATAAATATATCGTTTTATTTCCTCCTTTTGAAAACATACTATGTAGGGACAATTCTCCGCCAAAGGCGGTCGGCTTCTGTAACCCTTTATTAGCATCCATTAAGACGTTATGTCAATGAAAATGATAGGGACGAGATAACTACATTTTTCTAAACACTTACCACAGGAAAGTAATAATCCGAACAAAGTCAGTAACACATGTATGAGAGCGGCCATGTTTCCTGCTATAGGTAAGAGTTGATTTGTTTTGGTACACCACTGTATCTGTATACAACATCAATATAACCAACAGATTACCGCTATAATTCTGCATTAAAACTTCACGTAGTCAAAACGGTAAATCGGATCATAGGATTATCGACCGGCCCGTGTCGACACTCACTGTTCACGACAGGTACCAGCGTTAATTAACGCCAGCTATAAAGAGCGGCCATAGTTCAACCCAGTGGGTGTTATTGTAGCCAAGTCCCATATTGTTGACATTTCTTTATAAACAACTTTCTATTTTCAAGGAGAAATGTACAGTCAGATTTATAAATGCGAAAAGTTAATCAAACATATCACAATGTAATAATTGTCTAATAAAATCGAGGTCGAGAAAACAATCAATTACAAATTATAAATCGTTCCTATTAATCTATTTATTTAAAAGTGGTTGAACAAATACTGAAATATTGTTCATGTAGGTAGTGCATGTCGTTCCTGATGGTACAAGTTCTAAACCTTCACAAAGTATTCCAGATTAGAGATTGTATATGTAGTACTATTACTTCGAACAGTTTACACGTGCTATTGGGTCCTAGCAAGATTTGTGAATCTTTTAAAATTACAAACGGCCTAGCTCATATACATGTTTTGTTCGATATATAGATGGTACGGGTTAGGGCAGCCAAGTTATTGTGGCAACTCCTACTTACAATACGGAATTGCAAATTGGTTTGCTTCAAATTTGTTTAACGTCCTATAAACAGCTAAGATCACTTAAGGACGTACCTCCATGTGTGTAGTGTATGCATGCTTGCGTGTGTGTATGCAGGAGACGTGTAATGTTGGTGGACTTGCCTCCTTGTGATAGCGCGATCTGATGCCGACTTTAAAGTGCTCTCACACTGAAATGCTATTCCGAAGGCATCAAGCACAGCATTCCGCCCGGTCACATTATACTGACAACGGGTGAACCAGTTGTTACCATTCCTCTTAATGCTGAACGCTAAGCGGGGAATAACAACTATTTGGTATGTCCCGGCTTGGGGACAGAACCCATTGCCTTCCTCACCTTGGCGAACGCTCAACATTCAAGCCAAATGTGAGGTGTTGCCAAGCAAGACGCCAGGAAATTGAAGGGAAGTTAGAAGCAGAAAGAAAAGTAAAGATACAAAATATTGCAATGGGCACAGAAGATTTCTTTTGGTCGCAACTGAGTCCCTAAATAGAGGACACCAAAGTAAATCCCCAATTCTGCAGGAAGTTCTCGCATTAGTCGCCTCCTACGATACATGCAGTGGGTAACAGAAGGTATATTCCTTTCCCGATCCCCCACTTGCAGGGATAAATAATAAAATGTTTTTTTGTGTGTTAAATCACAAACATTAATAAATATTAGTATAACTGTATGCGATACACTTACATATGTATACGTAATACACAAAAATGTACTGGATACGTAGTGCACAAACAGTGGTATGCGTTTTACACATATATCGTATATGTTTTGTTTGGTTTATTGGATTCAGTGTTTTATTTACAGCTATGATCATCTTAGGACGTTCCTTCATAATGTCGGTGATAGTGCGGATCTGATAAGAGTGCTGAAATAACACACCGAATGAACTCCAAAAATAATTCCATCCGGTCGCGTTATAGTGACACTGGGTTAACCAGTTTTCGCAATTTCCCTAAATGCCGAACTTACAGTAGATAATACCATTTAAAGGACTGATTATTTCCCGGCCTGGGGAGAGAGCCCATTGCCTGCCCCACTTTGGCGTACATCCCCAAGGAAATCCCCAATTCTGCAGGGGGTCCCACATTTATGGCTTATACACGCAACATACAAACACAGTAGTATGCGTATTAACGAAACTTTTGTAAAGTTACATTCGTACATGTATGAGCAAGCTTTACTTGTTATCAAGTTCAATGCATTTTTCTTCGATAAATAGGTGTTACCTGTTGGCATAGGCAATTTGCTCCTCTCTCACTAAATAGGCTCATTTAATAGGTTAGTTGAATGAAAGGGTGATCTAACTGTAATATTGCTAGTAATGTTAATAAATTAATTCAAGACGGATTGACCTGTCCCAATAGCATCAGCGTCATCTAGGAGGAGGAATCGAAGAAGCCCATTCCCTTCACACAAATAGACTGAGGACAGAAAATAGACCCATAGAGCTGCTAGTTAACAGGAAACCAACGTATACCGTAGTCCAATTTCTACCATCCTTGTTACACACACTAGGAGTTGTGAGAACTTTACCAGATAGTTTTAAAGCCATCTCATTACAATCAGAGATAATCACGAAATTATGTGAGTGGAGGATACGATCAAAGTGAAGAAAGTCACTAGAGAAGTCAGGATGATAGATCTAAATCAGGAGGATTTTAATAAGAAAAGGATTTGCAGTGTCTTTTATGTAAAAGCGTATCTGAAGGCATACAGTAAGATTTCAAAAAGCATCACGTGCATTCATCCACGAGACTGCATCAGACACTGCGTTACATACCAATGTCCCTATAAGGTACGAGACGGTGTATGTGTGTAATTGTGCAAGGAAAGCAAACATAAGATTTAATACCCGACATAGATATTTATGTTAATTTAGAAGATATCGTATATCCAATAAAAATATTTCATTCAATCCTAATTCTACGAGATAACGCTTATAACGTTTAAAGATATCTGTATTTGAATTCGAGATGTCTTTTTATATACAAAACTTCTGCGACCCCTCTATCGGATTTAAATGTAAAGCCGGCTGATCATAATTATTAGTAAATAATAACTTGCAATATTTGAATATCCGAGTAACCTGGGGAGAAGTTCAGCTCGAGGCCAGAGGAGCATCAAAAAGAGCCAATTCTGTTTTACCGCGAACTTCCACAAGGAAAGAAAGGAAAATACCATCAACAAAACTGTACAATAATCAAACACATCAACAAGAACAATCCTGACATCGATTAGAAAGATATTACATTTTGGATCAATAGTGCAATCAGGGGCGGAAGCAAGTGGATTTTTGATATACCGGACGCTGGGTGGCGGTCATTTTGAATTTTCGCGTCTGACAGAGTAAGCCCACATTTTCGCGAGGTTTACCCCAGCTCATTTTAATCAGCAACCTCAAATTAGCTTTTGAACCCTGCCTGAAAAAATGGTCACGGACGTTTATGCTATCAAAACACCCGGAGTTCGAGCAACCGGATAAAACCGAGTTTCATCTGCAAGAGGCACAACTGCAACATTTTCCCATTTTATTGTTTGATTTTTATTTCAAATCTCTCATCAATTCTATTCCGGAATGAAACAGTGGTTATCCAGAACGGTAACTTTTTACATATCTACGCATATGTATTAATACTATTGATAAAATAAAGTAGGAATGAGACGTAATTCGAATAACCCTTCTAACAGTGAATTTAGGATACATTGCAGGGCAATATTGTAGCACTCGTGATCAGGGCAATAGTTCTAACATATAAGCTGTTTCGTTTGTCTGTTTTCTTTATGCAAGTAGTAGCACGTAACATCAATATTATTATATATACAAAATTTATGTCATCTCAATGTTAACTTAAGAGGCGACTAATAAGGGACAAGCAGCAGACCTGCATCATTTTTATTTTTTTAACTTAAATATTGGTATCTAAGATACATATTACTGTATTTAGCTTGTCTGACAAACATCAGTTCCTAAGTGAAAGACAACATGTCAAAGCTGAATCAGGAAAACACGGAACTTATCGTCTTTTCCCGAAGTGTCAGCAGACAGTGGCTCTCCAGCTCAAGGTCTTTGCCAGAACTACTGAGACTGTCCTAATTGTAAAACCTTAGGGATATACTTTGTAATTCACTAAACATGGAGAAACAAGTGAACGCTATTGCCAAATTATGTTACTATCAGATCGGAAACATAGGCTGTATTCAGCAGTTTGTAACAGCATATGCATGCAAGACTGTGGTGCATTCACTTGTAACCTCTCGGTTGGACTGTGGCAAGGCTCTGCTCTTTGGTTTATCTGACAAACTAACTGGTCATCTGCAAAGGTTCCAGAAGACGTCTGGTTACTCGTACACGAAAAGAGATCACACATCACACCTGTGCTATATTCATTACACTGGTTACCAATACGGTACAGGTCGCAGTGCAAGATTTTGGTGAACACACATAAGGCTCTGAATTGAACAGATCATCCATCATGTTATTCCCAATACTAAATTAAAACAATCAACACGTATATGTCGATAGATTCTTCTTCTTCTCCTTCCGGTATTGAGTCGATCTCCTCAGTATTGAGTTTAAATCGACTAAGCATGATTGATATAACAGGTGGTACCCCAAAATGTAAAAAAAAAAATATGTTAAAACTATATACAGCATCGGAGGTTGCTAGTCTACTGGATGATAAGCGGCAAAGCAATGTTTTTGAGCTTGGCCCTAAACTCTCTATGGCCGGTGTTGCTACCTCTTCTGGGAGTTTATTCTATTCCCTGGTGGATATGGGAAAAAGAAATACTGGTAAACCTCTTCTGTCGTAGTCGTTGCTGTCCTCTTGTTCTGTTGTCACTTGCCCGTTAATATAGGACCGTGTCAATATCGACTTGTTTGTGCATGATCTTATAGCATGTGATGAGTTTCTGTTTGGATCTCAGCTATCATGGTTGTAACACATTCGGGAGTCCTGAAAGAGAAGTCGTCGTAGCGGACAGCACGTTGCTGGACCGGTGCCACTTCTGTGACAAGAGCGGCTTGGTGAGGAATCCCACGTTGATGCTGCATACTTTAGGATCGGCCGGACAAGGGGCTAGTACATGTTGACACTCGGGGTGCACCTTTTGATGTTCCTTCTGCGAAATTCAAGAGTCCGTGATGCCTTGCCACTGGTTTATGTGTTTGTTCCAGGTGAGGTCCTTGTTGATATGCACTCCCAGGTACTTTCTAATATTGTTTTCAAATATGCAGCGAAACAGGAGACAGTGGTCTGCAAATCAGGCAGGTCTTTGATGTAGGCTAGAACAGAAATTGACCGAGTACTGTCCCCTGATATGACATCAAGTGGATCCGAGGTATGTCCGACCGACACAA